TTATCCAAATTCTACTCTTTTAAGCCCCTTGACTTTTAGAATATTCACATTAGGCCCCAAAACAATCTTTTCTCACAATCAAGTCCTTAACTTACACTTAAATATTCCCAAAATTTTGGGATATTACACTCACCCCTCCTAAAAAGGAGTTTTGTCCCCAAAACTCAAATTGGGGATCATCTAGACTGGTGAATGGCTTCACACAATCCAAGACAAACAAATGCCTCACTCACTTTCTATGAACAGACATGGCCTACTACGCTTCCGCTGCGCCACTCTGATATCAAATCACAACTAATCTTAAAAAGCAGAACACTAATCACTTAACAAGATTTGCCATCAAATAAGCTACTGGAGGCTGAGGTAATACGGAAAGCACAAGGAATAAAATAAATCCTGCCAAAGCCACAAAAGAACAATTGTGGAGTTACGCTTCGAACCCATCACAAGACGAGTTGGCAAAGAATGGCATGGATTTAAAGACAAGTACAACAAAACTTTGAACTCTATCAAAGACGGATAAGCATCCAATGGATATATGGATCATGAATGAATGAACAAGTGCATGGATGCTTTATAAATTATGCCACAAAACAAGGTTAACCAATAAATAAGATCATGTTTGACAAAGCAACTGGAATCAAGAGGCAGATTTTAGCAATTAACAAGAGTTAAAAGCTAAGACCATCAAAAGACAGGAAATTCTCAAGAATTGCAACAGAATAAAATCAATGGAAAATATGAATGCTTGGAAGAATATTAGAACACAAGAGTGCAAGGTAGAATGCCTCAAAAATTTGGCAACAAAATGGCATTCACCAAGAATCAAGATCACATTTAACCAAGCAGTCAAAATTGAGAGACAAGAGTTAACCATGAAATAGGCAATAGAATTCAAGAACTAGGCTCACAAAAGAGATTTCAATAATGACAATCAGAACACGGATTCAAGAACACATATAATCAGGATGGCGAGATCTAGTACCTCAAGTACTAGAATTAATTAATAGAACAAAACAATGGCTAAGATCAAGAACAATTTCAGTTGAAACAAAACTCCAGGACATCAAGTATTTCAAAGATTACCCCTTCATCTCGTAGCTCATGGAGGTTAAGCAGATTTACAATCAAGTCATCCTAGACATCCTAGAATCAAGTCAAAGCTAGGACATTAAGGATACAGAGATTAACACTTACAAGAGGCCAGAATGAAGATGCCTCATATAGGTATTTCGTCACCCCTCCTAAAGAGGTGTCCATATGAGCAAAATCAGAAATCAAGAAGATCAACAGGTATACTGACACAAGAACTAACAGAATATGCGGAATTGAGCAAGAGCAATATACAGAATTTGAGCAAGAACCAATGTCAGAACAAGAATGGTTTTCAAGGACAATTCAAACTGGATTCCAAAAACCAAATATCAATTGATTTTCAAGAATAGATTCCAAGAACAATGCAAGGATTAATTTCAGACAAGTATCAAGATAATGAGGATTTCAATAATCATTATCCATTTCCTTTGGATTTCAGTTTGAAGAACATGTACAAAGCAATTTCGAGAAAGATTCAAGATGGATTTCAAGAGTTTCAAGCAATTCCAAGTATCAAGAATGTAGAGATTGGCAACAATAGAGAGTTTAACTTATGACAACTTGCCAATCTTCACAAAAACAAGGCAATTTCAATTGAATTGATCACTGCTCTTGATTTAACCAATATGGAAAAATGAGCCACATGAAAAGACCATGAAGCTCCAAACGAAAAAAGTGAAATTTCATTATAAGACTTTCAGAAAGATAAGGAGCAACGGAATTACCAAGTAATCTAGCTCCTAAAACGCAGCTAGAAAACATACAACATTGCTAAAATAGCCTAGAATCTCTTACAAGGTAGAGGGTTGCCCATCTTTCACTAGTCATGTGACAAACAGAGCAAATTTCTCAACCAGTTATATGGTAGAGACCAACAAAATCAATAACAAAAGTCTTTGCAACTCCCCAGATTTCACAATTGTGGCAAAAGAGCATACAAGAATTCTACTCACGTAACAAGCCTAAACAAGTGCAGACTATCAGAAAATGACAAAGTTTCAAAACAAGGTCTTCAGGACATAATGGGCAAGATTACTTTCACAACTTCACACAAAGTATGAAGGCAAGAAACAAGAACAATCAGATTACCATCTCATCGAAATGGATTAGAAAATTCAGGGAACATAAATCAGAATCGTCCCTTACATAACCCCATCACTCGTCTTACCACGGGTCTAAAATCCACTAGCTAGCCAAGTCCAAAACAAATCCTAGGTATTCACTTAAACCTAGGCTCGGATATCACTCAATCTGCTCTGATGCCACTCAATCTGGAGGTGCTTAATTTAATTCTAAGCTCTTAATTTAAATCTAAGCTCTGGTTTCAACCTAAGCTCTTAATTTCAACTTGAGCTCTTATACCACTCAATCTCCAGATATCTAATTTAACCTAAGCTCTGATACCACTAAATTTGTCACGCCCCAAAACCCAATTTCGAGACGCGACAGACGCCGTGCACTCGTGAGACGGGTCCCACAAATGCACAAGGCTCGGAACTTATCACATTCACACTCTGATACCATCAAAATCTGAAGATCAAATT